GTTCTTTATCTCTTCGTTTGATGTTTTAGGGTTTCAGGGTTGTTGTATTCTCTGTTCGGCTTAGTTTTTCAGATCTTTGCTGTGGAGAGATGGTGTGGTGCTTCTACCTAGAGCACCATTTTGCCGGAACTCTGGTACCCTGCTTTTTAAGACCAAAATGAAACTGTCTCAAACACCATCCCAAGTGTATGTCTCTACATCTCACTGGAGATTCTGAGGTAGGAAAAAACTTACAGCTTCCTACTCACCTCCAGTCCCAAATTCCTGCTTCCTCTGATGTCCCTCAGTCTATGGGTCATCCTGTTATCTTTACCCATGATTGTGTTGACTAGGACAGATTTTCCTCAGTTAATACAACTTCCATTCACCCCAGGCCTCTGTGTGTAAAATAGTCTTAACTAAAAGTTTAGAGGGGTTGAGGGGATTTGTAACAGAAATGACTGGAAGCTGAATCACGTATGTCCTCTGCTTAAGAATCCTCTCCATTTCTGCCACATCAGGTTCTGGGCATCTGCCACGTGGCTGTAATCTTGCTTCCAGGCCTCTTTCTCCCCACTCTCCCCCTCTGGACAGTTAAAAAAAATGGAATGTATGTATTTTTTTTCTTACGTAGAACAATTCAGCCTTCCCTTTATCCTGCTTTCTCCTTCCTGATCTCATGCTACGGTCTGCCTTTTCATTCCCCCATGCCCATCAAACTGTTTATATGAACAAAGATAATCTTCTTTCTGATAGGAACTTCATTGCCAGCTGCTGGGACCCTCACAGACCCCATTTACCTGGCATGTGTGTAGTCTCCCACTGCACATGGAGTACCCAGCACACCTCGGTTTCTTTCATCCTCACCAGAATACTTTGATGTAATTGTTATTTTTCTCATTTGTAGATGAAGACCTGAGCACCTCCTAGAGATTAATTTATTTGATGTCCTATATAGTGAGTAAAGATTATAGGAACCAAAAAAACAAAAAACCGGTTGCCCTTGATAGTCAATTCTGACTCATGGTGACCTCATTTGTGTCAGACTAGAACTGTAGTTCATAAAGTTTTCAATGGCTGATTTTTTTGGAAGGAGACTGCCAGGCCTTTTTTCCAAGGCACCTGTGGGTGGACTTGAACCGCAAACCTTTCCGTTAGCAGCCAAGCGCTTAACTGCTTGCACCACCCAGGGTCTCCTATAGGGACAAAGCAGGGACAGAACCCGATTCCTCGATTCTAAATCCAGAACTTTTCCTTTCATCACAGTAGTTCTCCACCCGGATGAACATTCGAATCAGCTGGAGAACTTTAAAAATGTTGATGCCAGGGCTCCATCCAAGTACAGTGAAATCAGAACCTCTCTGGCTGGCGCCTAGGCAACTGCATATTTAAAAGCTTCTTTGATGACCTGAAGGTGCAGCCCTGCTTAGTGGTGCGTTGGTTCCCAACATACCACCTGCCAGCGTGGGGAACTGAGAACATCACTTGCGTACAGTAAAGGCTGCATGCACCCCTGGCTTCTCTGGACCACAGGGCATGCTTGTTTCTGCAGCCTCACCCATCCTTCTTCTAAATGTTTGTTTTCATACCCATACTATTTGGATCATCTGATAAAATGTTTCAGGTGGGCACTTATCTATCTGACAAGCCTGTCCACAGTCTTCCCTTTCTTAATCCTCTTTTTCTTTTTTGCAGGGACAAAGCAGCGTTCTCACAGCTCCCCAGCCCCAAGCACTATCTCCACAAGTCAACTTACCTTGCCAGGTGGGTAAACAGCATTGCACCGTAACCTTAGTGACCACAGATGACAGAAAGGACTAGTTTCTCAGGAATTGATATTATGGGTTGATAAACTGAGAACCTGGTTCCTTATTTATCCAGTCTATGCATGCCACCCAGAGCTTTGTCTCTGTCATCCCAGTTTGTGAGGTTCCTCGGGGAATGGGCATAATACATCCATAGTTGGTTCATAATCTCTCAGGCTCACCTGCAGTCTCTCATGATGGGAAAAATAGAATCTCGCTCTTCCCAGATTAATCACCTTGATGTTCATCTAGACATGCTGTAGAAGAATTTATCTGAGAGGCAGATGGGAAAGAGCGTGATCCTTTGGTGAGAGAGAGACCTGGGTTCAAATCCCAGCTTCACCCTGTTTAAATTGTGTGAGTTCAACTTCTTGGAACTTTCATTTTCTTTCCTCTCTCTGGGTGATGATAAGGATTGGAAATAATGCGTGTACATTTAGCATAGTACTGACACATAGTAGGTGCTCATAGCTAATCTCTGCTACTAACAAAGAGGGATGATCTCTCATGGAACCTATTTTAGCTATGTAATGCTGCTCTAACAGAAATACCACAAGTGGATGGCTTTAACAAAGAGAAATTTATTCTCTCACAGTCTAGGAGGCTAGAAGTCTGAATTCGGCATCAGCTCCAGGGGAAGCCTTTCTTTCTCTGTCAGCTCTGGGGGAAGGTTCTTGACATCAATTCTTCCCCTAGTCTAGGAGCTTCTCAGGGCAGGGACTCCCAGGTCCCCTCCTGGTTCTTCATTCTTGGTGGCATGAGGTCCCTGTCTTCTCTGCTAGTTTCTCTCTTCTATGTCTCAAAAGAGATTGACTGGAGATACAACCTAATCCTGTAGATTACACCCTGCCTCATTAACATAACTACCTCTAATCCTGCCTCATTAACAACATAGAGGTTAGGATTTACAACACTTAGGATAAACACCTCAGATCACAGAATGGAGGAAAACCACACAGTGCTGGCAATCATGGCCTAGCCAAGTTGTCACACATTTTTGGGGGACACAATTCAATCCATGACAGAACCCATCTATTTATTAGAAAATTTTAATAATTCATGATGATCATGTATAATTATTTAATGTAAGGGATACCAATGGGTCATTCTATCTCCAAGCACAGGCTACTACAATTTAATTTTTGCAAGTAGAACTTGGAAAAAACACATATGTGTTTAGGGAACAAGAGGTTATAAAATGTAAACATGGTCATTGTAGACAATTTATAAAATCATAAAAATTATGGGAATGAGAAACATCACCAATAATGCTACAACTCAGAGCTAACCAGAATCACCTCTCCTTCTAGTCTTTATTAAATAGTTTTTTTTTCTTACATTGGAATTATGCTTAACTTGGAATTTTATTTCCAGACTTTTTGTGAGCTTTTCCCAATGTTATTAAATATTTTAAAAATATTTCAGTGATTGCCTAACATTTCATATGATTACACCGCAATTTATTTATATATTCATTGATAGTTTGGCATTTATGTAGTTTGCATTTTGTTATTATAAATAATCTTACATACTCGTACATAAATCTTTGTCTGAGTATGGAGTTAGGATAGTTTCCTCTAGTAATCTACATCTTTAAGGTTCTTGCCATGCTATTATCAAAGTGATTTCCAGAAAGGTAGTATTAATTTATACTTTTAGCAAGTGATTTATGAGGTTGCATATTTCACCATCCCTTGGCTAAGGCTGAACATTATTTTTAAATTTTTGCCAATTTGATAAGAAAAAGTGATATCCTTGTTTGGTTTGCATTTATATTACTGCATTTTTATGCAAATAGTGCTCACCTTCTACCTTTGTTTGCCCACCACCCCTCCCCCGCAAGGTATTTTCCTAAACGCTATGCTAATGTTTTCTTACAACAACGGGGCACTTATGAAAATACCTCTTGGTGGGGGAGGGTGTGGTTGGCAAACAAACACAGAAGGCGCGTATTCTTTGTGTAAAATACAGTATTTCTCTTTTTAAAAATCTGTTTTCTAATGTTAATTCATATTTTACATTTCTTCTTTTGGAAATTATAATATTTCATCCATTCTGAGAGGCACGTTGCTTTGCATTTTAACCACTCTGAAACTGGAATGTGTTTTGCAATCAGTGGTGTCATAATTTATCTAGGAGCATTTTTCTTGGCTGTGCATAAAATAATAGTGCATCTTACAATTAATGACATCTTAAATAAGATTAAGTTGAACAGTTATGTTTTTGCAGGGACACTGGTGGTTGAATGGTAGAATTCTCTGCTTCCATGTGGGAGATCGGGTTTCATTCCCAGCCACTTCACCTCATGCACAGCTACCACCTGTCTGTCCGCGGATGCTTGTGTGTTGCTATGATGTTGAATAGATTTCAGCAGAGCTTCCAGACTAAGACCAACTAGGAAAAACAACCTGGTAATCTACTTCTTAAAATCAGGCAGCGTAAACCCTATGGATTACAACAGTCTGATCCACAACTGATCTCTTATACATGGGGTCTCCATGAGTTGGGGATGACTTGATGGCAGCTAACAATAAGAACAAACTGTGTTTGCACCCTCGATTCCTGCAGCTTCCCCACCCAAGTCCAGCCACACTGAACTCAGTATCCTCTGAGTATCCCTTGCTCTTTCTTGCTTTGTGACTCTGCCTGGAATGTTTTCCCCCCTTTTTTCCCTAGCGAATTCTCTTTGCAGTGCTCTCCAAATCATGTAGGTAGAATTAATATTGTATTAAGTATTTTTTTATAATTCCCCTTCACCCAATGACTGATGGATTTTTAAGGGTGGGGACTGTATTGTTCCTTTTTGTCCCCAGTGCCTGCCATGGTGACAGGCACATATCAAATGCTCATTAACATTTAAGGCTGGGTGTGTAGGGGGAGCCTTGGTGGCACAGTGGTTACGTGCTTGGCTGCTAACCTAAAAGTCAGTGGTTCAAACCCACCAGCCACTGCACAGGAGAAAGATGTGTTGGTCTGCTTCCATAAAGTTGACAGCCTTGGGAATCCTATGGGGGCAGTTGTTCTCTGTCCTATAGGGTCACTATGAGTCAGAATCGACAATGGGTGGGTGTAGGTGAATGAGCAAGCACTCTTCAATTTAATTTGTAATTATGTAGGAAACAATCATTCTCAGAAAAAGGCTCATTTTTAGGATTTGGATTTGTTTCAGCTATGCTAACCTGCTTTGTAGTATTGAGTAGACCTTGCTCCATAGTCTCTGGAAGCCCCTTTCATCTTGACCCGGCTCGTGGTTATTGTTAGGACTGTAGAGCAGCGGGAGGAAAATAGCTTTTAACCAAGCAACCCCAGTGTGTAGTGATGGTGTTTGCTTGTCTTTGTAAGGTCTTAACACTCCTGGGTTAGGTGAGGCCACTGAGGCCATCCTGGTTATCTACAGGAACACGTAGAGCTGACCTGGTTCAGGCCAACCATGTCCAGGGCCTCTGAATCAGTGTTACAAGCACCTTGCCTTTGGCCTTAGCTTGGCAATCTAGACTGGTCCCAAACTGGGTGTCTTGGGCTCCAAGTTCTGTCTGGCTCCAAGCCTGTAAGGGTGGAGTGGGCAGTTTCCAAGCATCGGAGATAATTATCCATGCTTTGTCTAGCGGTCGCCCTCCACTTGGCTCATTACCATGGTCAGCTTGCTACCTCTCCCTCGTGCCTCAGGAACATCCCATGTTGCCTCCCTCTGACTCAAATGCCTCTATGACCCCTTTCCCATGCCTGGCTAGCTTCCACTCATTCTTCAGGTCTCCACCAGGAGAGCCTTTCTTTGATATCATAGCATACAAGAGACAATTCTTAACTGCCACAAATAAATTGTTGCTGTCAAATTGATTCTAACTCATGGAGACCCCATGTGTGTCAGAGTAAAACTGCGTTCTGTAAGGTTTTCAAGGCTGTGAACTTTTGGCCTTTCTTCCAAAGTGCCTCTGGATGGACTCCAACCACCAACCTTTCAGCTAGTAGTCGAGCACTTAACTGTTTGCACCACCCACGGACTCCACCACCAATAAATAGGTGTTTTTAAAAAAAAACAAACAAAAAACCTTTAATTAACAGTTACTGAATGGACTATTTGGGGATTTCAAAGTTTAGTGTTATTTTCTACCTCACCATCACATGGCTAAATCCAGTGTAATCAAATCAATAAGCTGTAGGCTAATCCCATTCGGTCATTCAGAGATGAAAACATTTGGTGTGAATTCCAGTCAAGATGGCCTAGTAAGTTCATCTTTGACACACACCCCTCTGCTCGAAATACTTCCCAAACCCACTGCCATTGAGTCGATTCCAACTCATAGCGACCCTATACAGGAATGGATAAAATAAATACATTATGTTAAAAAAAAAAAAAAAAAAAGAAAGGCTGGTGCCGGAGACAAATAGCTCTGGGGACCAAAAACAAAAGAGAAGTACTAAGCACTGTGCTGACTGCTGTGGCAGGATGGCGGCCACGGGACAGGTAGGCTCTGCCGCAGGAGCAGGAAGCGTCAGCAAGAGCTTGACTCCCACAAAGCAACAGGAACTAAACATGCTCCATGGGACACTGGGACCAGAGCCAGGCTCACTGCCTGGGGTTACAGGACATGGGGTGGGGAGGCTAAAAATTGTTGCTGACCTGTTACCAGGAGCTACAGCTTAATAGTATTAATAGGAAGCTGTTGGCCTAGAGAGGTGGGAGGACAGTGATACAGCTTTTCTAGCAGACCAAGCTGACTTTGGAACGGGGTCTGCAACAGCCTCCATATGACTGTGGGACATCAGTCATAAAATGCTACTGTAAGTCCTGGCTCTGAAACAGAAGCTTAAGGGGCCAGGTGGAAGTAACTACAAAACTAAACAGAGCATGCAGAGCGAGAAAGAGAGACAGAACTCAAAGCCAAAATATCTTCGACTTAAAATGAGCCAAAATTCAATGAAGACATCTAATGCTAATTGGATAAGGCAGCAAAGTAA